GCCCCCCCCCCCCTAACTACACAATTTAGATGATTTAGGAGTCTGGCTTCTGACTGTGCCTTTCAAGGCCAACCTGGGTTGAGAGGGGTACAACATTACAGCAGAAAGACTGGTATACTCGATAAAAAAATTACTCCCCACTCAGAAATGGAACTTGTGTCACCTGTGTAGAACATAAAAGTGCCTAACCGCTACACCACAGATACCAGTTGTCTTTTCTTGTATATGCACAAAAAGTAGAAAAAAATGAGTAATTTTGAGTGTTTTACACATTCATCAACTTAATTTAGACCATTTTGAGGGTGGTTTGTTTGGACGCTGCCTGCCTCAGCCAACCAGAGGTGAATGGGATACAGCATCCCAGCAGCCCGATTGAGATACTTGATTAAAAAACCTACCTGCTCAGGAATCGAACTCCATTCACCTGCATGTAAATGTGAAAAACCAAACTGGTTGATCATGTATTTTGCTTTGGGGTGTGCCCCACGTTTTATTTGTATCTAAATGTGGTATAGTATGGGTTTAATGCCCTTTCTCATTTTAAAAAGTTCTATAAGAATTAGAGCTTTTCATTTAAAGTCCTCTCTGATAGAACCCAAGTGAACAACCAGTCGGTGAATGGAAAACTGTTAGAGCTCTGTATTCGTGTATCTGTGCCTTACTGTAATTAGTAATGTGAAGTGTTATTCTACACCTACATTTTGGGTGCAGAATGACAAACGCTATTATACCCGAACGACACATGCACAGTTTGGTTCTTTTTTCTTTTCTCCGTTTCCACCTAAGTCGCCATAAGCCTAGTTTCTGTTTCATGCTCTGAGGAAGCACCGGTAACTTGATCTACTGAATATCCTCCACAAGATAATCATATTCAAGGGAGCAAAATTTTATTCATCCCTGGAATTTCAACAGAAGTTGAAAGAATTTGAGGGTGAACACAAGTAATGTTCTTTTGTGTTAAAAAAAATTCTACCAAATCTACGACGAATAATAAATCCAGAAAGCGCCCAATCGACGAGACCAAATTTTGAGCTCGCGAGAGGGACGCTGGTGTGTGACACACCCCCACCCACCGCCTTCATTATATTATGGACCCAAGAAATTTCTTTTAAATTCAACCTGAAGGCCAATGCAGCCTAACAAGTTGCTGTATTTATTTTGTGTGACACGCACCTAGCTGATATGGATGGGTTTTTAAAATTTTATTATACTCCCGAATTATGGGTGTATTATACCGTTTTTTATTCTACACCCAAATTTCAGGTATATAATAACGTGTCCTTATTAATGTTGTGGCACATCAGAACAAAAAACAACACACACTTTCATTGTCTTTAATGTGCCTCTTTAATGCCACTCTTACAGGCGCTGTTTTTAGAAAAACCATTCTACCCAATCAGATTGCTGGAGCTCATGGATTGCCTGATTGACGCACCTGCAGTACCCAGGCTGGCCAGGTTTGTTTATTTGTTTGAATAAAAAGAAGCATATTTTTTACAGAAGAGACCTATCATTTAGTGCAGGGAAAGAGAAAAAACAGACAGACAGAAAAATCAGCGAAAACAATTAAAGAAGTACAACTTATCAGCAGCCCCCTCCAAACACTCCTTAGCCAGACTTGTGGTTAGACTGCAATTTTCCCCAGTATTTTAGAATTCTAAATAAGTAGCCTTTCTTTTCAAATAGTAACCGATGGTGAGGAATGGACAATTTATACCTTTTCAGGAAAAGAATGAACGAGGCACAGTCAGATATGATTTAGACATAAGATATATGAATAGACAAGTAAAACAGCAAGTATTGTGTGCGTTCAGGTGGCATATTTGTTTTGTTATTAAGGCAGCCATCCACGTACCGGCCGGGCCTTGAGGCCTCGCCTCACATGGCCATCCACGACACAGGCTTTCTGTATTCATTTAGGATGGCGCCACATGTGATATAATGGATGTTGTTGTGACAAGTTTAGCTATTTACATTGTTTTAAAGAAGAAAAGGAAGAGACACATGAGTTTGGTATCGAACAGCAGTAGAATCTGATTTTGATGAAGAATCCGTAATGTTTTTATCATTTTTTACTCTTCTTTTCTATCTCCAAGTACTCCGGCCTCAGGCCTGTTTAAAAAATATCAGTCAGTAACTGATATTTAGGAAGCCACCTTGAGGCTGGGGATTTCCCCAAAAGTTGGCCTCAACGTGGCCTGTGTGAGGCTTGCGCAGGCCCGCTTCAGGCCAGGTTCAGGCCTGCTCTGGCTTGCACTGACCTGGTTCAAGCCGAGCCTCGAGGCCCAGCCTGTAAAGGGATGGCCGGCTTTAGGTGAAATTCGAATCAGAATATTTTCTTTCTGACTACTTTATATAATTATGAATAACATATTCAGAAAAGATTTGATGACTTTTTGCAAACTGTCTCGTATATTATAATTGTCATTAATATTTTGCATAGTTCTTATATTCACTATTCTGAAGGTGTTATCCATTTTCTTTCATGCTACACATCTGTACTGACAGCTTTGCATTCAAAGGCACAACCAAAGCTAGATAAGAAATATGTACACAATTTCATGAAAGAAGTTCCGATAAGATTTCTGCCGTCTATGGAGAGAAATGCAACAACTATGATGTAGAAACGATGGCTATCGAAACAGTTTTGTACCATCTCCTCACAGTTTTTAACATGTATCCTGACAAAACACAGAGTATTATATTGTGATTTTCGCAAACTCAATATCGGTTGCAGGCAGTAGAAAATGACCATCATCTAAACCAAGATGTGACACAGATACTGTTTAGCTCTCGCCACCCGGTGACATCATGTGGTGTCAACTTGGTGATGGAGCGGATTTCCGGACACTCAAACACACCTGGAGGAAATGACAGATCAAGCACATTTGTCAAAAATGGATCTAAACAGGAACAGCCAAACATTCCATTTTTCTACAACACTGGAAAAATAAATCATTAAAACCAACAACAAAGAAGAATAGATGAACGAATGGGCTTTGGAAAAGACAGGCAGAGCAGTTTTCAAACATATATGACTACTACAAAACGAAAAGACGATCTCAACTACATTCAGAGAAAAGGAACAGACCATAATTAATCTTTTGCCTGCGAACAGAACATTTTCAGTTCAACTTTCCCAATGCGTCCTTTGTGTGACTACACATAATATGAGGCTGTGGAGCTTGCTGTTGAGTGGGAATGTAAACTATACAGATGCTAACTCTATTATTATTATTATTATTATTATTATTATTATAATAATAATAATAATAATTATTATTATTATTATTATTATTATAATTATCATTATTATTATATTTATTATTATTAATGTTATTATTGTTATTATTATCATCACCTGTTCCACTGCACATCCCTAAATGACATCAGACCTAGCATTAACAACACAATTTTTGGGACATTACAGCAACTGCAGCAAACCCGCACTTATCACTAAATGGTATTGGACAGAAAGACAAGAGCCCAGCTATTGCATGATTGATAACAACAAACACAACAACGTCTAACCTCTTGCCTTTCCTCTATTTGAGGCATCTCTTTTTCTTTCCTGTTTTTTTTCAGCTCCTTGGCTTACTGTGATGTTCTCACTACTCTGGTGCTGGATTATAATGAGTAAGTTGATTGTTCCTGACAGCGACGCAAATAGTTGTTTTTGTTGTTTTTGTTTTGTTTTGTTGTTTGTTGTTTGTGTGTGTGGTTTGGGGCTGGGGGGAGAGGGGAGGGAGTGGTGTTGTTGCTTATAATATCATACCAGACATAAATAGGTCTTTTAAGAGGTGGAGCATGGGGTCTCATTCATGAAGTAAAAAAGAAAGAAAGAAAGCCAGAAAGGAAGACGGACAGAAATAAAAAAAAAAAACAGGAAGAAAAACAGAAAGAAAGATAGAAAGGAATACAGACAAAAAAAAAGAAAGAAAGAAAGGAGAGAAAGAAAGAAAAGAAAGAAAGGGAAACTGAACTGTCAGTTTTATATAATCTTTCTGTGAGGATTTCTGACACTCAAGCCTCAGAAACAGAAGTCACTAGGATTTTCGGAGTTGATAAAAGACATCAATGTTGTATTTTATTGCAGTTGTGGTAATTGATTGTAAATCAGGGCCAATGAGTGGAATACGTTATATCATCATCCCCAGTACACAGACAAAGATGTTTTTAAAAAAACAACCCTCTCTCTTCTATTCGGGAATCGAACTCACATCTCCAGTGTACAATTGCAAAGAGCCTAACTATTGCACCAGAGGCACTGGTTTGATTTGTATTTTAACAGCTGTGATTTCCATCTGATCTCCTCTTCGGGATTGTTCTGTGTTTTAACAGCTGTGATTTCTGTTTGATCTCCTCTTCAGGGTGTTTTAACAGCTGTGATTTCTGTCTGATCTCCTCTTCAGGGTGTTTTAACAGCTGTGATTTCTGTCTGATCTCCTCTTCAGGGTGTTTTAACAGCTGTGATTTCTGTCTGATCTCCTCTTCAGGTTTGTTCTGTGTTTTAACACCATCCTGTGATTTCTGTCTGATCTCCTCTTCAGGTTTGTTCTGTGTTTTAACAGCTGTGATTTCTGTCTGATCTCCTCTTCAGGGTGTTTTAACAGCTGTGATTTCTGTCTGATCTCCTCTTCAGGGTGTTTTAACAGCTGTGATTTCCATCTGATCTCCTCTTCGGGATTGTTCTGTGTTTTAACAGCTGGGATTTCTGTCTGATCTCCTCTTCAGGTTTGTTCTGTGTTTTAACAGCTGTGATTTCTGTCTGATCTCCTCTTCAGGTTTGTTCTGTATTTTAACAGCTGTGATTTCTGTCTGTTTGTTCTATGTTTTAACAGCTGTGATTTCTGTCTGATCTCCTCTTTAGGTTTGTTCTGTGTTTTAACAGCTGTGATTTCTGTCTGTTTGTTCTATGTTATAACAGCTGTGATTTCTGTCTGATCTCCTCTTTAGGTTTGTTCTGTGTTTTAACAGCTGTGATTTCTGTCTGATCTCCTCTTCAGGGTGTTTTAACAGCTGTGATTTCTGTCTGATCTCCTCTTCAGGTTTGTTCTGTGTTTTAACACCATCCTGTGATTTCTGTCTGATCTCCTCTTCAGGTTTGTTCTGTGTTTTAACAGCTGTGATTTCTGTCTGATCTCCTCTTCAGGTTTGTTCTGTATTTTAACAGCTGTGATTTCTGTCTGTTTGTTCTATGTTTTAACAGCTGTGATTTCTGTCTGATCTCCTCTTTAGGTTTGTTCTGTGTTTTAACAGCTGTGATTTCTGTCTGTAAAACCTCTACTAAAACTAAATCCTGTGGTTTCTGTCTGATCTCCTCTTCAGGTTTGTTCTGCATTTTAACAGCTGTGATTTCTGTCTGTAAAACCTCTACTAAAACTAAATCCTGTGGTTTCTGTCTGATCTCCTCCTCAGGTTCGGCGACAAGGGCTGTCAGCATCTGTGTGAAGGGCTGGAGAGAAACGTGACGCTGCTCTCCCTCAGTCTGTGCTACTGTGACTTACAAATAGAAAGTGGGAAATATCTGGGTCACATTCTCTCCACAACGGCTCTCAGGTGAATTATAGTGTGCTACCCTGTTATTCACATAAACCAGTTTTGAACTTTGTTTTTATTAGTTTATTTTGTGGGATGTTGGCGGGTGCTCTGGGGAGGTTTGCTTCTTCTTTCCTATCAAACATCTATCGTCCTTATCTCCCCTTCTTCTTTTTTATGTTTGTTACTCTCTTGTAACACCTCTAATCTTCTGGCGCTCATGTGACCTTATGCAGTTGCAAGCGCCGTAAAACCTCTACTAAAACTAACTAACTCTCTTTCTTCTGTTGTTTTCTCCCAGAGAACTGTACCTAGATGGCAATGAGCTGCAGTGCGAGGGGACCATGGAGCTGATCAAGCTGTGTGTGGACCAGGGAGAGATAGAAGCCTACCAGAGGGAGGAGGAGGCCAAGAGGAAAGCAGAGGAGGAGGCACTGCTGGCAGAACAAGGTAGGAAGAAACTGACTGCTCGGTGTAAGACTCCTTTTTAGCAAGAGTTTTACAGCACTTGCAGCACAATAAGATCATATAAGTGCTGGAGATTAGAGGTGTTTCAAGAGAGCATATGTGAGGCAGCGTGGTGAAATCAGGTGCTCATCAAAATAATGAAATCGGAGAAGCTGTTCTTTTTCAGCCAGTTTGGAAATTTTTATCAAATTTGTATTTTTTGGCTGAACATCTTTTAGGTCCATATTAAAACACATTTCCATGTAAATTTTACTGAAAAAGATTTATGTCATTTTTCTGTTATCAAGGAAGGATTCTTTAGCTATGGGAGTTACTAAACTTTGGCGGCCCTTTTCTCGCTAACTTCATCACTGAAACCAGGCGACCTCACTTCCTTCAATCGCAAATATCTTGAGTTCTATTCAAGATAGATGGATATTTATTTCATTGGGAGCCAAGCAAATTAATCAGCTTTTAGACAATTCCAATAACTTCACATGCCAAAAATTGACGAGCGCCTGATGCCACTGTGTCGTGACACTTCAGACCGTATAAGGCCAGAGAAATAAAGCCCTTTATTTCTTTCTCCATTTTTCTTCTCCACACTTAATCTCATTTGGGTAGCGGTTAGGCTCTTTGCTGCCGCACACAGGAGAAGTGAGGAAAAGAAATGCGGAAAAATGCCGGTTTTTACGAATTCTGTATTTTGACGAGAGCTTGATTTCACCACGCTGCCTCACATTTAGGTTTTTGGGGGTTTTCCCCTCCTCTCTTCCTTTTCGTCTTTCTTCTTGTTCTTTTACTTTTTTTTCTTTTTTATTCCCCTCCTCTTCCTGGGCTCCATGTCTCTCAAGGAATTGAAAAAAAAAAAAACGGTATTAAAAAGCGAGCTGGGAAAATGCCTTTGCCTATACTCATCATTGAAAAGTCTGACACTTTCATATTTCCTTTTCTGTTCTTCAAATTGTCTTAATTTTATTTGCCAGTTCTTTCTAGTAATAGCATGTGTGTGTGTATGTGTGTGTGTGTGTGTGTGTGTGTGTGTGTGTGTGTGTGTGTGTGTGTGTGTGTGTGTGTGTGTTTGCATGAGAGTGTTTGTGTGTGTGTTTGCATGAGAGTACATGTATGTATGTTTGTGTGTGTGTGTGTGTGTGTGTGTGTGTGTGTGTGTGTGTGTGTGTGTGTTTGCATTAGAGTGTGTGTGTTGGGGGGGGGGGGGGCATGTGTTGGAGGCATATGTGTGGGAAAATGGTGAAATGGTTTGGGCTTATCGCCTCTATCAACACTATTAGGTTATTTAAGAGGCGCGGCCTCCGAGTTTAACGTCCATCTCCAAAAGGACAGAGCCAAATGGGAATTTTGTGTAAAGTGCCTTTCCCAAGGACACAACGTTGGACCGAGCTGAGGCTGGAACCCCCAGCCAAACCCGCAACCTTGTATGTGTGTACTGTTCATATGTGTGTATGTACGAAGGAAAGGAGTGCTTGTGTGTGTCTGCTTGTATGTTTGTGTGGTAAAATATTATGTTGCACATGTATGGGTGTGGGAGTGCGAGTGTGCATGATACTACGCCCGCCAAATCCCAGCCCCAGTAATAAACCGTACGTCAATGCACCTGTAAGTAGCACAGTATGTCGTGTGTACCTACAGAGACACAACGCAAATACGACTTGACCAGCGCCGGAGATTATAGCGGCAGTGACAAGGAAGGCAACTCTAAGCCTGGCAGTGGGAAGAAGAAAAAGAAAAAGAAAGGTAAGTGAGGATCACGAGTTGTGAAATCACATGCTTAGGGGCTGTTCAAATTTTAATCTTACACCTTTTTGGGGACTTTTTGTCCCCCCCCCCCCCTCCCCCATTCCGTAATATTACATTGTTTGCTTATTATTATTATAATAATATAATAATAATAATAATAATAATAATAATAATATATTTATATCACGCAAATCCGTGTTTCAATCATTGTTCTATGCGTTTTACATGCATAATATTCATGAAAAGCATGCATACATACATACATTCACATAATAATATATTATGCAGTTCTACATTCACTAAAACATAACAGAGTAAATTATTTTAGCAAATATTGCAAACACTCTTTCTTGCTAACTAATAAGGAAAAAATTGAGACTCATGACAATGTCAAAAGCACCTTAATACGTTGGAATTCTGATAAAGTCAACATCTCTGGACCAAAAAAAAAGTGTAATATTACGTTGGTTCAAGACACACCCCTCCCCCCCCCCCCCCCCCCCCCCGGGGGCCCTTTAAAATTTTTTTAAAAGGGGGGAGAACCCCCCTACCCCCCTTTTCCAGGCGTAAGATTATATTTAAATGTACTCTTATCATGGCATCTGTGGGGGGTGTGGACTGAAGCTGGAAAGGAAAACTTTTCTGTTTTGTCTATGTCGTTCTAGTTTTGAAAACTTGACTGCTTTGATTGTGATAATATAATGGTTTTTGCCCTCTCTCTCCCCCTCTCTCTCTCTCTCTCTCTCTCTCTCTCTCTCTCTCTCTCTCTCTTTCTCTCTCTCTCTTCCCTTTGCATGGCTGCAATTGTCATTTCTTTTTATCTATTCCTGATGATTGTGTGTGTAGTTTGGGGGGTGGGGGAGGGTGAGGGGTTGTGGGGGTGGAGGGCTGCTTGCTCAAGGCCGCTACACATGTATGTTCCAACCTGGCGGTTTTAACCGGAGTGGGAATCGGCGTTGTAACCACCGCACAAAACTGCTGTTCAACGGGTCGGCGCATCTTCCACATCATGAGTGGTTTTACCGCAGCTCAAGTCAAATTTTTTAAAATGGCGGAGTGTGCGAACAATGACGATTTGCTTGCAGCTTATGAGTTGCTCATGGCAAAGAAAAAAGAAAAAGAGAAAAATTATTGAAAAACCACAAATTCTGCTCGGATCTTGCCTTAAAATTGGGTCACTCATTTAAAAAATGTAATCAGATTTTATGTGTGGTATATAGTTTTGAAGATATTGGCAGTGACGAGATAAGCTGGCTAAGCCTGTGAAGTCACACAAAGGCTGTTGGTGACGGAACGTGCTGAACTGTAGTCAGAAAATCCAAACATGTTGAAACCGCCAGTTCGGCCTCCCGGTTTAAATTTTTACTAGCAGCTTTTCATCCACATCTGCGGTTCTGGCGACAGGTTTGCCTTTCCTTTCTGAACCGGCAGTTAGGAACGAACATGTGTAGCTAGTGCCTTTATTCTAGTCTTTGAGCGCGGTTAGATTTTTTTTTCAGCTTAACCATCATCATATCCTCATCATCATCATCGTTATTGTGATCATTAATTGTAAATTGAAATAATGAGTCTTGAGAGTAAGCACTTTATGACAAAAACACTAAAAAGAAATGTCACTATCATCTTCATTTTAAAGCAGTAAAACAAATATACATAAATGGGATGTATTTTAGAAAGTAGTTTGTATTATATCTAGCAAGTTTTCATTCAACATTTTGTTCATTAGCGCTTCTTTAGGGACATCACCATTGTTGCGTCATCATCGCCATCATTACCATTGTCATCATCATCAGGTAAAAAGAAAAAGAAGAGCAAAGAGCCTGCAGGTCCACCCCCAGTAGGCCCGTGGGTCCACAAACTTCACCTAGCAGACAACGGCATTGATGGCTACGGGGACATGGGGCATTTTGCTCCCATCATTTGCATGAGGCTTTTCAAAAAGTAAGTTTATTGACTACATATTAACCATCATGCTTTTTAAAAAAAAGTAAACTGCTTGTTTACTTGCCAGTAGATCGGGCACAATCTGCCTAACTCCAGATTTTTATCTTGTACTTTTACTCTTTAAAATTATCATTATAATGATAATTGTGTCACAATCAGGCTTTCGTAAATTTTTGTGCATTTGGAGATATTGGTATCATCTTAAAGCTTGTTTATTTGCATTTCTTTCAATGAAAAAAACACTGATCTATCATGAATAGAAGTCAAGATATTTGCGATTGAAGGAGGAGGGTCACCTGGCTGCAGTGGTAATACTAGCGAGAAAATGAGCGCCAAAGTTTGACAATTTCAATAGCTTAAGAGTCCTTGAAAACAAGAAAATTTCATATTTTATGCATTTAATCCACATTTTTCTTTGAATTTCACTTGGAAATGTGCTTTTATATGGACATAAAAGGTGTTGATCCAAAAAACACCGAAAATTTGATAAAAATTGCCAAACTGGTGGAAAAGTGCCTGTTTCTTCAATTTCATTATTTTGACGAGCGCCTGATTTCACCACGATGCCTCACAATTGCTTGTCCGTCAACATCTCACAATGACCAATACATCAGCAGAGGAGAATATTTTTTCTCCAGCAAAATAATGGCAGAATTTGAAGAATTAAAGGTTAAGTTGAGTTGTAGCTTCTGCTGTGGCTGATGAGACCAATTCTTTTATACTTTAGACAGCCAGAAACCTCATTATACACATTTATATAATCTAGTTATATCCCAGCTCTCAGACCAATATAGATGAGCCAAATAGTCAAGTGGACAAAGCATTTTTTTTTTTTTGTTAAGTATTTTACTGCACTTGCAACTGCATAAGGTCATATGAACGCACGGGACACGCCAAACATTTTCAGTTGGTAGGAAATTTTGAATTTTGCCCTGGTGGCGGCCGAAGTCTACTCTTTTCGATTTTGGACCTCCAAAGGATCTTTAACGTGCGCAACTTGCACATGAGACCTCCGAGATTTTTCGCCCTTGTCCGAGTAAGCTAGGTGTAGATCTTTCCTACCAGAAGGTCAGAGGTGTGGCAGAAAGACAGCAGTAAGAAGGAGCCAAGGAGTAGAAGTAGAAAGGCATGAGAAAGAGTCAGGAGCCCGGTGAAGGGTGCAGAGGAGGTGAAGGGGTGGGTGGAGAAAGTTGAGACGAAAGCAGACGACAGAATATTGCAAGAGAGAAGGAAGGAAGGTGAAAGGAGACAATTTTAGAAAAGAAAATTTTTCGGTCACTACCCAGATTCGAACCTGGGACCTTTGAATGAGGGGCGAACACCTTAACCTCTAGGCCACGAGAGCCCATCTATGCTCCACCACCAGTTTCTAGAACATCAGTTTTTTCCTTCTCCAGTGAAAAATGCTGTGGAGTCCGTTTAAACCAAAACTGTAGGAAACTCTTTAGTTTAGGCGCGTTTTTGGTTAACTGTTTTTCTCCGAGGGGGGTAAACCCACAACGACGGGGCCCTTTTTTGGCGCTAAATCTAAAAAGGACAAAAACGTTAAATTAGGTCATTAAATCAAAACTAGCAAACCTATTTTGATAGTTTTTCATCTAATGAATGAACTTCCGGTATATAGCACCTGTTTTCGGCAATTGCCAAAAAGTAGTTTGATGTCGAATTCATCCTAAAGCCTAAAGGATTTTGCCAAACTGCTGATAGCGGCTCACCGGCACCGGGGTTCTGACTGCGAGCCGCTGGGAGTGGCTTGCCGGAGATAAAGAGTTAAGAGAGGTTGCTCGAATAGCAGAAAAAAAACTGGGGGATTTCATTTTTTGGGGGTTTACCTCTGTTTTCGGATTTTGATTTTAGTTAATTCTGTTGTATGTCTTCAGACTTAGAAGGACTGAGCCTGAGGTCATCGACATTTGTTTGGATTTATCTTCACGGATCTTTCTTGTGTTATTATTCTTGTTATCAATCCAGATTTTGTTTTTGTTTTATTGATAAGATTGTTGTTGCATTGATAAGATGTTAATATAAAATGAACAAAAACTCTTTGCAGGCTTCTCATGAACTCTAAGTGTGTAGAGGAGCTTGACCTTGAGGATAACAATATTGGGGAGCTTGGAGGTCGTGAGATCCTGGACGGGCTGGAGTTTCGTAAAGAAGGTTTGTTCTTCCTCCACCACCACCCATCCTTCCCTTTCTCCTTTTCCCTGACACAGCAAACTCCTCCTTAACAGTGTGGCAGTTGCAAAGTTTTCAATATCGGGATATAGCTTTTAAAAAAGTTTTTTTTTTTTTTGGTATGTCTGTATGTAGTAAGTTTAAAAGTTCTATTTACTTATATACTGGTACTTTGGATTTAATATTTTGGGGTCTCAAAAACAGGCGGACTGAATGACAAGATTATAAATATTTAGTAAATAGATTTAAAAGAAATTAGTTTTATCCTCAGTTCAAAATTCTCTACTGGTTATTGTCAATTTGTTTGCCTGAAGTGAAACAAATATATGAGGCATCGTGGTGAAATCATCATCATCATCATCATCGTCATCGTCATCATCGTCATCATCATCATCATCATCGTCATCATCATCGTCATCATCATCATCATCATCATCATCATCATCATCATCATCATCATCATCATCAATGCCTTTCAACTCTGGCAGGGTATAGGCCACATACAAGCTCCTTCCATTTATCTCTGTCCTGGACCGTCCTTCCAAGCTCATTCCAAGTGAGGTTCATCTCTCTCATGTTCCTTTCTGCACATCACCTCCATGTTTCCCCATGGTCTACCCCTGCCTCAAGTTCCCTGTGTGTTCCATTGCAGTGACTGTCTTGTGATGTTTCCGCTTGGCTTTCTTAAGGTGTGTCCCATCCACTGCCACTTTCCTAGTCCTATTTCTACTTCTATATTCTTTTGTCTTGTCCTTTCCCACAGCTCTTCGTACTCCCCGGGGCAGTGCCACTGACTGTATTGTCTTTAGGCCTTTCCCAAAGGGGGGACATTTTTCGTTATAGCATAGTAGAACTGTAAATGGGCTGACTCTTGTCACGCTCATAACTGTGCCTGATCTACAACAGGGAACTGCTGCTTTTTCTTTCCTGATCCTTACTATTGTTATTTTCCTCTACTTCTTTTGTATGTTTGTCACTCTCTTGTGACCTGCTATTTCCGGGGCGCCTTGAAAGTCGAAGAAAACCTTGTCCTGTTGAAGCTAGAGAGCTGAGCAGCCTAAGTCTGATTCCCTGTAAAGACTTCTCTCTCTGTTGATACCCACCCCTTGGCGCTCATATGACCTTATGCAGTTGCGAGCGCCGTAAAACCCTCTACTATAAAAAACAAATAAACAGCTCTTCGTTTCATGTTCTATCGGTCCACTTAATTCTTAGCTGTCCGCTTGGTTTTATGCACCCCGAATAATTCATTTTGCATAATTTCAGAATTTTTCTTGCATAAAACGATGGGGACAGTGTTAGGATACTCCTCATACATCTGTTAATGAAAGTCTGGACTTTATTCAGTACTGTCTTTGTTGTCTTCCAAGGTGAAGTTATGCGTATGTCAAAATAATTAAATTGAAGAAACCGGCCATTTTTCCACCGGTTTTACAATTTTTATGAATATTTCGTTTTTTAACGTAAATTTCAATTAAATAACAAATTTCTGTGTGGATTTTACTGAAAAACGTTGATTAAAAGCACAAATAATGTAAATTTCAGTTTCCAAGGACTCCCAAGCTATAGAAGTTACCAAATTTTGGCAGCCATTTTCTAGCTAATCTAACCTCAGATACCAGGTGACCTGCACCTCCTTAAAATATACATATCTCGACTTCTATTTAAGTTAGATGGGTATTGTTTTTACCCAAAGCAAGACAAATGCTACCAATTTCTCCATAATATGCCCAAAATTTATGAGCGCCTGATTCCAGAACATCATTACACCTATATAGTACGAATGTAAATGTTTCGCTCCCCCATCCCTACAATTGTGATAATTTAAGAGGCTGGCCTCCTAAAATAGAAGTGAAGAAAAATATTCCGCAGGGAGTTCAGTATCAAAGGACAAAAGTTTGTTGAATGGTTTTGGGTCTCATGTCTTTCCCACCCACAGCCAAGCTCGGAGGAGTGAAAGTTCGCACAACACACCTCATGACCTCTGATACCTTCAACTCCATTGTGAAACTGGGAAATGGCCTCACAAAGAAAGGGAAGAAGAAGGGGAAAAAAGGGAAAAAGGTAAGTATGTGCAAGTGAATAATTAATGATGAATGAACGAAAAATTGAATACACTGAATAAATTGCATCGTGTATAGATTTGTTGAAGATACAAAAAGTAATCTTTTCTAGTCGTGAACCATCCCTGTAGTGTCTCCTCACAATAGTTTACAAAAACTCTGCAGATAGTTGGAGACCACCACTGGCTGGCCAAACATCTTGTTTTTCCCACTGTTGGTTGTGTCTTTCTTGTCTTGCTTTTTTTTCTCTCACTTCATGACCGTTATTGTATCGATGGTTTTCTCTTTGTTTGAAGAAAAACTCTCTGTCTGACTAATGGTAATTTCACTTCTCTCAATCTTCCTATTGAAATTCACATAAGCATACATTTTCGTATTAAAAGCAGCTCACGTTCATATTTTGTTTCTGTGCTGCCAGTCAGTTAGGGGTGTACGTGGATGGTTAAAGAGCACCTCTGGTCGGTTTATGAGTGTGTGTTTGTGTGTGTGTGTGTGTGTGTGTGTGTGTGTGTGTGTGTGTGTGTTTGTGTGTGTGTGTCGCTCTCTCCAACAGTCACAACTGATTTCTGTCGATATAGGCATTACGTTATTATATATCCGGGGAAAACGACCGAATGACAAAAGAGAAAAAGTTATTTTAATATTCAAGCCCACCCCACCCCCAGCCTCATGCCTGCCTCACTGTCCATCTGCGTGTCTGTCTGTCTGTCTGTCTGTCTGTCTGTCTGTCTGTCTGTCTGTATTCTTTATGTTTGTCTGCCTGTTTGTTCTCTCTTGTCTCCCCCCCCTCTCTCTCTCTCTCTCTCTCTCTCTCTCCCTCT